GAGGGCCTTTGGAAGGATATTTGGCGTACTACACCTGCCGCCAGTAAGCATCCAGGCGCCATTGGCGAGTTCGACCATCTGATCAGGGTGCAGGAGAGCGATGGCCAAGACATTTTCCCCCGATTGCATCGGCTAGCGACGTCAGGCGCGCGGCAGGCAAGTGCAAACGTCGGACTGGCCTAGGAGCGGACTCTGTGCACCCACGTGATGTAGGTCTCGTTTGCGATGTTGCACTGACCGTTTTGGGGCTTCTCTTGCATTGGGCTGAACGTCTCGGGCACCTGCCGTCTCAGTTCGCATTGAACCTGATCGCATTACATCCCCGGCTTCACAAAAGGGCGTCGGCCGATAGGTTTGCTACCTGGGATATGCAGTGTTTTTGGGAACTGAATCGCCCCGAAGATGATCGCTGAGAGGCTCGCGAGGCTCACGATTTCCATTATGGGTCCCGAGGCCGCAGTTGCGAAAAAGCTGTCTGGGAGCAGGCGTTGCCTGGGGAAGTTTCGAAATTATAAGATATCCCGCTGGCGGCAGCATTGTTTGATTCTGCTGAGGCCCACGAGAGGGTTTGCCATTCTTGGTTGGTGCGTGCGGCAGTAGAGTATCACTTCCCTCTCGTCAGGCTACGCCTTCTACTCAGCCAACATCGAGCAGCGCAGATTTTGCAGATAGGCAGCATGGTTTCTAGTGTCTTCGAGGTGTGGCAAGGTTGTGCCGCTGGATGTTTATGTGCCTCATTACTCATGCAACGTATTCTAGTTGTTCCGTGCGATGCTGCCCGTCTGCGTTGGCAAAGCGTCAGGATTTTCAACGTGGTCGACGACCTTGCCGCGTTTGCTTCGCTGGCGGCCAATCGATTAGGATCACTCATTGGCAGCGCGGCGGCTTTTATTTGCCTGCAGCTCGAGAAGCCGCAGCTGGTCGCATCCAAGGATAAGGGTAGAATCCTTCCACCAAACCCGAAGTTGCAGCAGTTATTCAGAATCGTTCACAGAGTTCTGATTTTGTGGTCTCTAAGTCTGGTAAGAATCTTGTGATTGATCAGAGCTTGGTCATAGGTAGAAGGGCCACCAAGGTGCATGCCGATCGTTTCGCCAAGCTTCGCCCTCGGCTGCCGCGTTTCAGAGGCCTTCGGAGCGCTTTCAAGGTTTCCTCGAAGGTTGTCAAAGTGGGGGGGAATTGCAACTCAAGGGCTGCTTTGAAAAGTTGCAAGCCATTCCAAAACGAGGGTGGCAACATGTACAAGGACCCGCAGGCGCATTAGAGCGCGCGCTGGATAGGCCGGGGTGGAGCATCAAGTCTTGGGACTCTTAGGAGACTGACTGATCAAGGGCCCCTTTGTGAGCCCGAGGTACCACGGGAAGAGGGCGCTCAAGATCGTCATCAAGTCGAGCACCCAGCGTGGCCTCATTAAGGGTCTAGGAGAACCTCAGGCCAAAGTCGCGGGCCTATCAGTTGCACCCTGCTTGGAGCCGCTAGTTTCTACGTGTCGCGATCTTGCGAGCGCGTGGCCGAGGTGATTCTGAGGGCCGGCTTGCGATTGCTGTTTCAGGAGGATTCGCTGCCCAGCATGAGTTTTTCTGACAGAAGGCTGGTGGGCGGCCACTGCCAGTGGCCGCCAGTGGCGCAGGCAGGCGATCGGCACCAAGTCTTGCAGATTCATTGAATATGATGCTCAGCGGATTTTTTTTGCGCAGCCTGGACTTGGGCGAACAGCTCGATGCGGCGCGACGTTCTGATGAGTATGACTTAGGCTACACAAGATGTGTACATGTATGTCCAGAGTGGAGTTGGCCCGCGCATGAATGCTGAGCCTAGATGGAGTTGCTCCCCATGTAAGCGGAGTGCTGGACACAGGCTACATGTGTATCGACGGCTCGGGCCTCGGCCAAGACGGTATTACTTCTGCTCGGGCAGGATGCAGGCGCGGGGCTAGATGTCGGGGGGGACGTCCATGGGGGCCTGTATGGTCCACCCCCGCACTTCCTTCAGCTAGCAGGATGCGGGGAAGTGCATGCGCCTCTTGTTGCCCTTAGGCATCCCGGTGCAAGCCCAATGGCGATTGCCACTGACAGCAAGATGGCGCTCGACATTTGGAATTCTGGACCTGGACAAGATTTGTCTAACATGTGTTTCTCGGAATTGTGGTCTGATATCTTTCGGGCTGCAGATGACATCGGGGTTTCAAACATTACAGCGATCAGAGCAAAATCTCACCTTAGCCGCACGGCGGCCCCCAATGCTGATTTCGAGCGGCAACAGAGGAGCTGACAGACTTGCTAACCTCGGGGAACTTGCCCAGGCTAATCTTCCCTACGTGCGTAACCGTTATGACCTTGCCGCTCGTAAAGTTAAGTATTGAGCGATCGTGGTTTCGGGGGTCCTCGACCGTCTGGCCAAGCTTAACTTCCCCGGTGTCACCAAGCATCGTAAACCCTTTCGAGCCAAAACTGCACTTCTCGAACTGATTCCTGATTCCTTCGGCCACCAGCTAGCCAGAGTAGGTAAAGGTTTCGTGCGCGTTCTGCGTGGGGACAGGGGAACTTCACGTAAAGCTATTTGTTTTATTCCTTGTTCGGGTCTCCCCAAAGCTGCCCGCACCTCCCACCCTTCCCATGCGCTCCGTGTGGGGGGTGGGAAGGGGACCTGGCGTGTGAACTGTTGAGCTTTCGGGAGTGCAAGGTGTCAGTATCTGAAGGAGCGCTGTTTAAGAGGACCTCGCAACAAGGATGCTGGGCATTCTCTTGCCCTGCTGAATCAGGGGATCGATCCGTCCAGCCACCAGTTCGTCGGTCAGAGCTTCCCTGTGGACAAGCTGCTGGCTCGAGCTCCGCCGCCGCCCCCGAAGCCGCCGAGCTTGCCGGGCAGCTAAACTCGTCTCTGTTATTTCTCTTTGTTGCGGGGGTGTCATTTCACACTGTGTGCACAAGAGGTGGCTCTCTCCTATTGCCGAAGGATGCCGAAGGAAGAGTAAGGTAGGGAGGCAGGAGGAGGAGGACGAGGACGTGGACGAGGAGGAAAAGGAGGAGGAGGGGGGTAGGGCGGAGCGAGGCGACGGAATGGAGGGAGAGAGGAAAACAGAGGGAGGACGAGGAGATGGAGGAGGAGGCAGGGGGAGGAGGGAGGATAATGGAGGGAGGCAAAGGAATGATGGTGGTGATGATGATGTTGCTGATGATGACTATTAAGATGATGATGCCGACAACGATGATGAGGATCAGGATGAGGATGGGGATAAAGACGATGCGGCGGATGATTATGGTAATGGCGTTGATGATGATGCTGTGAGTGCTGATCACGATGATGACGGCGCTGATGATGACAGCTTCAATGTTAATGATGCGGCTGATGGTGATAGGGTTGAACATGCAAATGTGTATGATTATGATGATGCGGAGGATTATGACCATGATGCGAATGATAATGATTATGATGATGATGATGATGCTGGTGATGCTGCGAATGATGAAATGTATGCTGAATATGATGATGTTGTTGGTGATGATGTTGATGATGATGATGATGGTAAAGGTGAAACTGGTGACGATTTTGATGATATTGATGCTGTTGGCGCTAATGAAGATGGTGGTGGTGATGATGACGATGATGTTGTTGATCGTGATGCTGATAAGGCGAAGGCTGATGATACTGCTGCTGCTACTGATGATGGTGACGACGACGAGGATGATGATCATGAGGGCGAGGACGCGGAAGAAGAGCAGGAGGAGGAGGATGATGTGGAGGAGGACAAACCAGTGCAAACCCAAGGCTCATCAATGATGTTGCAATACGCCCTTCCTCCAAATTTCCTCATAGGTTCCTGTAAGGATGTATGGTCACTGCGAGAAGAGCCCCGTTCGAAAACAGCCGTCTGAAAATGTTCAGCCATGCCAAGACATCATTATTAGGCCAATGCCGCGAATCAGCGCCAATGTTGCGACCGGACTGTCCTAAATCGTGACATATTGTCACCAACGCGAACCAACGTGACCGTCGCACCCTGTTAATCTTGATCCGTGCCAACCCACAATGTCTGGAACGCCGACCATGAGAACTGTTGAAATTCGCGAAAACGTTTAAACGAACGCGCGCAAGCCACATTTAAAGAGCCGCCCTCCATCCGTAAAGTGACGGCGAATGTTTGGCGCAAAGGCGAGAGCCACAGTTTGAAAAGGTACCGCCTTCAAAGCATGAAATTCTTGCAATATTTTGAGGCGAGTGTACGCGGCGCTGAGGCGAGGGCCGCATGTTGAACATGGCCCGTTATCAATATGTGGAACTCCTGCGAACTTTTAAGACGAATGTGCGCGCGGCCCTAAAGCGAGAGCCACACGTCTTGGAATCCGCCCGCCATCCACCGGCGAACTCAAGCAACATGTTTTGAAAACCGCCCTCTAAGGCGAGAGCCACATGTCTTGAAAGCCGCCCGCCCTCCACCGGCGAACTCGCTGCGCAGTTCAAGCTTCAGGCCCATGCAGTCACACATGGCGCGGGAATCGCAGGCGAAGCGCCCAGCCCGCCCTGCGGGCCCGTCCCGGGGTGCGACAAGGAGGAGCTATGCACATAGAGGAGGGGAAGGAGGGCGGAGCAGAAGGAGGAGATCTGAAGAAGGAGGAGGAGGGGGGGGAGGAAAGCGGAGGAGGAGGAGGAGGAGGAGGAGGAGGAGGAGGAGGAGGAGGAGGAGGAGGAGGAGGAGAGGAGGAGGAGGAGGAGAGGAGGAGGAGGGCGAAGGAGGGCGGAGTAGGGCGGCGAACGAGGAGTAGGGAGGAGGGAGGAGGAGGAGGAGGAGGAGGAGGAGGAGGAGGAGGAGTTGGAAGAGGAGGAGGAGGAGGAGGAGGAGGAGGAGGAGGAGGAGGAGGAGGAGGAAGAGGAATTGGGAGGGAGGGGAGGGTGGGAGGAGGGAGGAGTTGGGAGGAGGAAGGAGGAGGGAGAGGGGAGGAGGGTTGAGGATGGAGCATGGAGGAGGCAGGGAGGAGGGAGGGGCTCCTCGGCTTCCCCAGGCTGGCGAGCGTGGTGAGCTGCGCGCCCGCCGGGGGCGCCAGACAAGTGGGCCCAGCCGGGGGTCCCATGGCGTGGATACCGAACGGACAGGCCCGCGCAGCTCGTCGTCGTCGTCGTCGTCGTCGTCGTCGTCGTCGTCGCCGACGTCGATCAAGGATTCTAATTATTCAATCGCTTCGCTCATTCCGCCAGCTCGTACTGTGCCATCGCAGGCGTTTGCCTGCGCGTTCGTGGCCTCTTGGGGCCTTTGGGGGGCCGTTAGAGGGTCTCTTTCTGGGCCTCTTGTGGGCCTCGTGGGGGTCGTCTTTGGCGGGGATCGCGGCTGCGCAAATCTCAGAGGGAATGGAATGGGCATCGCGTCCCTGAATGGGAGAGGAGTTGGCGTTGGCTGCCCAGCAGTGTCCTCGGAGTACAGAGGCTTTTGGTAACCGAGCGCCTGGCGATCCCGGTGGGCAACCCATCCCTGGCCCAGCGGCGGCCACGAACGGGCGGGCTCGCTCACTTCATCTTGGAAGCCCTCTTCGGAAGGTAGCAGCCCTCAGCCTGGCCTCTGTGTCCGCTCCTATTCAGGAGGGAAAGGAAAAGCCAGAAAATACGATACAATATAGGGAATCCTCTCATTTGTGTGTGTATTTGTTTTTGTGTGTCCCAGGGCGCCTTCACCTATGCGCGTTGGATCGCGTCAGAGGTCAACCCGTCCGATCCGCACCCGCGCGGGCTCCAAGGGTGGCCCCCCAGCGGCCTCGCGCCGCGGCTCGGCGCCTCCTCCTGCGCGGCCGCCGCGCCCGGCCGCGGGGAGACGCGCGCTCCTCCTCCTCCTACTCCGTCCTCCTCCTCCTCCTCCTCCTCCTCCTCCTCCTCCTCCTCCTCCTCCCCAATTTCCTCCTCCTCGGGGCGGCCGACGGGCGGTCGCGCTGGCCAGCCTGGCACGCAGACTGCCGCTCGAAGCGGCGGCCGGTCGCGGGGCTCGCTCCGCGGGAGCGGCCGGGGACCCGCCGCGGGGGCCGCCGAGGAGCTGCGCCGCTCGGCGTGCCGGAAGCCCACGGATCGACGGCGCTGCACCGGGCGCCGCGCCCCGTGGAGCACGGCCTTGAGAGCGGGGCCCCGCGGTTCAGGAGGGGAAGAAGCACACAGACACAATTCATCGTCGATTCCCCAGACAGTAGGGGAAAGTATGGGGAGTGGGGGGGAGGACGAAACCCCAGAAAATACGGGAAAAGATTGGGAATCTTGTTATTTGTGTGTGTTTATTTGTGTGTCCCAGGGCCCCTTCAGCGGCGGTGGGCGTCCTGAGCTGCCGCTTCGCGGCGGGAGCGGCGGCACCGCCGAGGGGGGGCCAGGCCAGCTGCTGGCCGCGCGCGGCCGCTCTGCCAGAGGCGCGCCGGGCCAGCAAGTCCGGCCTCGCGCGGAGCTGGCGCGCGGCTGGGCATCGCTCGGACGTGTGCGCTTTTTTTCTTGGCGAGAACCATCGAGGACCATCCTGGACCATCGGGCAAACAAAAACACACACGAAACCGAAAAATGCACGGGAAATGGACGTCCGAGCGGTGGCCAGGCGGCCATCGCCTGGAAGCGGAGGGCCCCCAGCTTCACCCCGCGCCCGGTGCCGCGGTCTGCTGCGTCGGCGATGGCAGGTTGCCGCGGCACTGGGGCGGCCGCGGACGGCGCTGTGGGTCGTGTTCTCGCCCGCGTGCCGCGCGGGTGCCTCGAGCTCGAGGCGCGCCGCCTGCGGCGCGATTCGCAGCCCCGGCCAGGCTCGTCCAGCGGGCGCGTGGGCGCCTCCTTCGCGACGCGGCGGAGGCCTGGCCGGGCAAGACGGGGCTCTTCGGGGAGTCCGCGAAGGTGTAAAACAGGGCTAGGATCGGGATAAATCGCTCCAGAGCGTTCCGGAGCGCTGTCAGAGCGTTCCGGAGCGCTCTGGAGCGGCCGCGGCGCCCAATACATCCTCCAAACCCGCCGATTCTCAGAGATTTCGAGTTCTCCCGATCCGATTTTGTCCCGATCTTCGTGTCGTTTTAAGGTGGGCCTGGACATCTGGATCACAGCCACGTCTGCATGGCGCTCGAGCTGGCGACGAGAGGCCGCACGAGCTCCCGCGGCCTTCCGCCCCGCGGAGCTGCGGCCAGAAGCCCAGGCCGTCGCGCGAGATCGGCCTCCCCCTGCCTGGCCGCCGGCCTCGCGCTCGGGGCACTGGCAGAGCTCAGGAGGGGAAAAAACACAGACACAATTAATCGTCGATCCCCCAGAAAATATAGGAAAATATGGGAATTGGGCCAGAAGACAAAAACCCAGGGGAATTCTTTTATTTGTGTGTATTTATTTGTGTGTCCTGGGGCCCCTTCAAGAGCAACGGCTCCAGCAGATGGCGCCTTTGCGAGGTCTGGTCGAGTGAAGATGTGGACCTCACGCGCGCCATGCTGCGCTGGAGTTTAGCGGCTAGTGTCGGATGACAAAGTGGTGGTCTCGGTCTCTGTCGAAGTCGGACCAGGTCGATCAAGGAATCCGACCCCCGCTTCCGCGGACGTCTTTCAGGTGACTCATCGACAAGATTCAGGAGGGAAAGAAACACACAGACACAATTAATCGTCGATTCCCCAGAAAATATGGGAAACTGTGGGAAGTGGGGGGGAAGACAAAACCCCAGAGAATATGGGAAAATATCGGGAATCTTGTTATTTGTGTGTGAATTATTTGTGTGCCCTGGGGCCTGTTCAAAGATGCCGGGGCCCGCCGAAGCTGCAGCGCGGGCGCCTCGCCGCGGCGGGGGCCGCTGGGCCTCAGAGGACCGACCACCGCCGCGACGTCGACCCGGCGCCCCCCAGGCGGCCGGCGACAGCCGGAGAGAGGGGGCGGGCCGCGCGGCCGCCAGCGCGGAGCCGCTCGGCTGCTGGCGTGGCTCGTCGGCGAGGGCTAAGACGGGCTCGTCCCTCTACAGGAGGAAGATTCAACAAAAAGTCCCCCCCCCCAAAAAAAAAAGTCTGGGGGCCCTTTTTTCCCATATTGGTTTCACCTTTTTGGAGTGTCTGTTGAGTATGTTCTGCATTTTTCGTCGAAGATCCTCCTGTAGGGGGACTCGCCCGATTGAAGTCGGGTATAGCCAGGACCCCGGGTAAGGGGACCCGTTTAGTGGTAGGGCCCTGGGGCCCTTCTATTGGCCAGATTCACTAAACCAGGTTTGCCGTAACTGGTGTTCTTCGGGTGACGGCAGTTCCGGTAAGTGGAAATGGGGCGGGGGGGCGCCCCCGGTACAAATCACTAAACCAGGTTCCACTAAACCCAGTTCTGCCAACGCCCGATTAAGGCTAGGGCACGAATTCCAGGCGAGGGGCGGCTCGGCGGCGCGGCTGCGTCCCGGAGCCGTTCGCCAGGCCAGCTGGCGCACGGCAGACAGCCGCGAGAGGCCAGATGCGCCATCGTGCCTCTGGACATCCAGGTGGGCGTTCACACCAATACAGTCGGCCCAGATTAGTAGGCCGACCTTGCCAAATCCAGGGTACCCTTGTGTCCTGTGTCTCGCGACCCATGCTTCCTACATTCCTATGGCAATGTGGCCCTCGGTAGGGTCTTGTGTCCTCTCGCGTGTCCTGTCCAATCGAGTCCGACTGTATGCTGATGAAGGTAGTTGGGAGGCTTTTTGAAGGGATGGGTCTCCTCCGGCGCAGTGATGTGGATCTGGCTCGGGGCGCCACGTGCTTGCTGGTACCAGGCTCTCAGGCAGCAGCTTCGCTCTGCGCCCAGCCCCGTTGGCCTCGTCAGTCTCACTGAATCGCAGCAGGCGCGCTTGAGCATGGGCAGCGCTTCCTTCCACGTGTCGCGTCGTTCGAATGTGGTCGCAAGGTCGGGGTGCCTGTGTCTCTGGAGAGCCCCGATGGATTGCAAAAGTGGCAGGCTCCCTGCATGCATAGATTGAGCTGCGTCGCCGAATGGTTTGGAGTTCGCCTGCATCGGTTCGGGAGCCGGGCAAGGGATGCTAAATCCGTGGCTGCTAAAATCAACCTCTGGGAAGTTGTCTTCGTCCTTCCGGGAAGAAGCCCGTTGACTGTTTCGCGTGCCGCGCCTCATTCCGGGAAGTTGTTTTTTCCTTCCGGGAGGGCCGTTTTAGCAGCCACGGTTTTAGCAGCCCTCGCCCAGCTTCCGATCGGTGTGGATGCGGTACCCCTTGGAGGAAATGCGCTCGTGTGATCGCTCGGCGAGGAGGCAGTCGCTTTCGTTTGCGCAACCGTCGTCATGCTGACGCTTCACTGTTTTCTCTCGAACGGGCCCAGACCGCGCCAGGAGTTCTGTGGACGCGCTCCTGGGTGCACCCGGCATGCGGCGGCCGTCGTAGCCGCCCGCCCTCGCCCGCGCGGCCGGGCGATGGCCTCGCCCACGGCAGACGTCGCGGAATCGCTGCGGGCATCCCCGTCGTGGAATCGATGCGTTTCCGACCGTGGGGGCTGTGCTCGTTTCGAGATTCCCAGTCTTGTTACCAGCCTGGAACATATCCCTATCCCTATGCTGGGCACCTCCTCATCACGATGCCAATCTTAGGGATTCCCTTATTCTTTGATGGCGAATCCCTAAGATTGTCATCGCCTTTTGGCGTGCCAGATCTTAGGGATAGGGATACGTTCGAGGCTGGTAATCTTGGGCCACTCCCCATCTCTTGTTCGTTCGGGTCTGGGCGTCTCCCGGGTGCGGCGTGGCGCCCGATCTTCCAGCAGCCCGTGGAACAGGTGCCTTGCTCCAGGCACGAGAAGGCATGTGCTGGCGATCCCGGGGCGGCAGGGCTAAGTTCAGGAGGGAAAACAACACACAGACACAGTCATTCGTCGATCCCCCAGAAGATGCGATGCGGGAAAAGATGGGAAGTGCGGGGAGGGGGAAGAGCAAAACCCCGAACATCTGGGAACGTACGGAGAATCCGGTAATTTGTGTGTATTTGTTTGTGTGTCCCAGTGCCCCTTCACAAGTTTCTGTTCGCTTTTGACCTGTTGAAGTGACGTGCCAGGCCATGGAGGGCTCGCCGCATTTGCGTTTCCGGCGTTGGTTGTGGTCAAGTCTCCCCCCCCTTTCCTTTCCCTTTTCCTGTGCTTCCCCTTCGCTCCCTCGCGCGCCCCCCGAAAAGAACAAGCAACAGAAAGGGCTTATTCATTTGCGCCGCTTGGGGGAATCTCCGAGCTGCGCCTGGGCGCCGAGTCTTTCAACAGCCGGTGGAAGATGCCCCTTTCTCCAGACGCGATACAATATGTGCTGGCGATTCCGGGGAGGCGGCAGGGCTAGCTCTTCTGAGTAGGTGCGTACCAGTGAAATGTATACATCGGTTCGTGTATATATAGACGCGGGAGAGAGGTGTAGGGAGATAGTGAGAGAAACAAGGAAAGAGAGAGAGAGAGAGAGAACAAGAGAGACACAAGGAACAGAGAGAGGGATAATGTGGTTTTCTTCAGCCGAAACGACGGCCCGCGCATTCAAAACTGAACGCCATCTGGGGACCGTCCCTGGCCCCACAGTCCCAGAGACAACGACTCCAGCGTCGCGAACTACGCACGAAAGATGGGATCGACTATTCTGTGCTCTCGGGGATTTCAATCGAGGAGGAGGAGGAGGAGGAGGAGGAGGAGGAGGAGGAGGAGGGGGAGGAGGAGGAGGAGGATGAGGGATGCGAGGGCTACGTGCTGACGCCCGTGACCTTCGTGCCAGTAGTGCCGGTCCAGCAGATGCAAGGAAGCTGCGGGCGGGCGGCCGGCCAGCGGGGCTGCAGTCGGGGTGCACGTCGGAGGCTTGCTAAGGGCAGCGAATCAAGCAATGGCGAAGCGTCCTGGCTCCCCTGTAGGCCTACCAAAGAATGTTCTAAGAACCTTTTGCAGTTTCAAGGGAATGTTCTTAGAACAGTTCTGGCTGGGGCTGTCTTGTTTTAATGCATCGGGCTTATGTTCTAAGAGCATTGTTTATGTTCTTAGAACTTTTTTGTCGTTCTAAGGACATGTCGTGGTAGGACTACAGGAATGCCGGGAGGGTCGGTCCTTGCTCCATTCGGAGGCGTGCCAAGGGCAGCGAAGGCCATCACGGAAGCGCAAGTTTTCCGGGTTGGTCCCCTGCTTCTCATGGTTTTGAAAGAAGGAAGCGGGTTCCAGACCCCAGGGCTTTCCTCGGGTCCAGTTCTTTCAGGTCCTCAGAGCGTGTTGTTCCCCGCGCGAGAGGCTGGGGCTGTGAGGCTAAAAGGGAAAGCCTGTCCGCCAGCCCTGCATACCGCGGCCGCCAAGCTTTTGCCAGAACCCGAACATCTGGAGGATTTCGCCATGCCAGCCTGCGTGCATGCATGCCGCGGTCCCCAGGCCCTCGTACTTTGCTTGAATACCCCGCCTCGCCCGCCAATGTGCATACCGTGGCCGACACGGCAGGCGTCAAATCATCACGCCGGCCAGCGACACCTAGAACAGATATCCCAAACAGAGATCAGCACTGCCCAGTAACGGCATCCACCAATCACAATTTTTAGCATCACGTGTGAAGAACCGAGCAAGGACACATCTCCTGAATAATCATCGCAATGTACATCGATATCGCACACCAGGAGCAGGCACCAAACACATGAACCAGACACGTACACCAACATCATACACCCAGAACGTACGTCAATTGCATAGTTGTACGAGGATCAGTCAGCAAGCGCATACAACAGCAAGGCATCAATACCACGCGCGAGTACAGTAGGCAAGGCCGATACCCCCAAACCATATAGCGAGGGTGTACACTACACTAAAACATCCGCAGCATACAGCAACAGCATACAACAACAGCAGACACCAGGAGCATCCACCACTGACATGCATCAAAAGGGGAAGCAACATGTTTGAGTTGTCTCCAGCTTGTGCCGCCGCTCCAGTGGGGTCCGGGTGTTTGAAGGCCGCCACCGCGTAGCTTCAGTCGGGACGCAGTGACATGACCGACATAAGCGCAGCGAGGAGCGAAGAGGTTTGAGGTTCGAGGCGTTTGGAGGTCTTCGTTGGTTCTTAGTTCAGCGCGCTCGCTTCCGAGCAAGAGTCACACCGTACACCTGGCCTGGCAGCGCGCGAGGCGGCGCCTCAGCTTCGTGGGGGTTTGGGAGGTCATCTTGGTGTGAAGGGCCCGACGGGTCAGCTCGAGTTCCCCTCTGGGGCCCCATCAGGGGGCCGTATCGGGGGCCTCTTCGGGTCATCGTGAGGGCCTCCTTCGCCATCTTGGGACCTGTTGGGCCGTCTTTGGGCCCTCCAGCGAGCCTCTTGGGCTGTCTAGGAGCGGTCTTTGGGCCCTCTTGGGTCCTAGGCGCTCTTAAGACCGAACCAGATGTCCAGGGATTTGGCCGATTTGGACTTGCCTCTTGAGGCCTTCTGGGAGGTCCTCTTGAGGCCCTTTTCAAACGTCTTGGAGCCTTCCTGGGCCGTCTTGAGGCGTTCTGGCGCGCTTTTGTCTTGGTGGCCTCCCGGGCCCCTTTTGGACTGTCTTGGGGCGGTTTTGGGATTTAGTGTCTCCCCCTCCCTCCTATCTCGGCAGAGCCTGCCCGGCACACACACCCAGCAGATTCTGCAGCTCAGGTTGTAGATTCAGCAGAGCTGAACCTTGAACTTAGCCTTCCTGAAAATCACACGCTTGAGCGGTGAATATCGAGAACATGCGCCAAGAACACAGTCGTGGTCGACATGGTGAGCGCACATACAACGAAAGAAGTACAGACGCGTAATCACAGTAATGAATAACGCATTCACGGGGGCGGCAAAGAGGGGGTGATGACTGGGGGGGTGGATATCATGGCGGTGGCCATGATATTTTCCCAGATTTCATGGCGCCTCTTCTTATTTCACTGCGTTCCCTGGGCCCCCCCCCTGGACCGCGCAAATGCCGCCAGCCATGATTTGCCCCCCCCCCCCCCCCCCCCCCCCCCCACCCCCCCCCCCCTCCTATGCCCCCCCCCCCCCCCCACCTCCCCCCCCCCCCCACCCCCCCCCCCCCCCCCCCCCCCCCCCCCCCCCCTCTTTGGACACCCCCCTATGGCCGCCCCGGGCACTCAACGGACGTGCACAATTTTCACACAGTTCTGAACAGGGCTGGACCTAAACGGTGTTCTGGCGATTTCCTGGGCCGTTTTCGTTTCGACTTCGTTTTGCGGTATAGGCGGATTGAAGACGAAAGCGAGGGAAACCGGAAATAAAACGAAAACGAAACAAAAAACCGTGCAGGTTCAGATTTGGTTCTGAAACATGTCAACACGTAGGGTCACACCTGATGGATTTCCAAACCGTTCGTAGCAGCTCTCTGCGCGGGATCACCAGACGTACGCGGATGGGCTGACGCTTCTGGGGCCTTGGCAGGGCCCCCAGAGCACACAAGCGACGAAACCACATCGGGGCCTCGGGCCACATTTGCTTCGTGCGAATGTTCGTCCCCCACCTCTTCGGTGCCTCCTGGAGGAACGAAGAATGACATAAACACAAAAACAAGACTCGGAGGTCCGCGCTGATTTCCCGGATCGGCGCTGGACCCGCCTCCCTGGCGCGCGGAGCGCGCCAGGGGCGGCGCCAGAGGCGCCGCCAGGGGGCCCCAGCGCCGATCCGAGAAATCCGCGCGGACCTCCGAGTTTTTATGTTCACGTTTCTGATGTTCCGACCTGTTTTAGCCTCGACCGCCAGAAAGAATTCGAGCACCAGAAAGAAGTACCGAAATTCGATGGTTGTCACGTGTCGGGCCCTGGGAGACACTCGTCCGAGACTTTTGACACTGCTTCGACACTCTTTCGACACATTTCTGTGGGTGCTCGAAATTATTTCTGGGATGTGGTCCTTAAGTACGATGGGAGCAACATAAAGTGCCGTTTTTAATACATGCTCCCCGTGCGGAGCATGTATTAGAAATGCAGGGAATTAGTTTTAAAAACAACGATGGGTTCATGCATAAATCTATTCCTAAATTAGTCATGTGTTAAGCATCCCATGTTTTTGACAATCCTATGTATTAAAACCTGCCCTTAAGTGTGCGTCAGTCTTCGTTCTCTTTATCTCCCTCTTCCAGGTCTCCCTCTTCCAGGGTCGTGACTTTGGTGTCCGTGCCACCTCGCGAGTGAAATTCGTATCGGCGCTGGTCCGTGTCTGTTCAGGGGATTCGGTGCTGGGTCCTGGGTGCGCCCGCGCTGTCGGGTCTAGCTCAGCCCCTCGGGCAGGGCCCCTGGAAGCCGAAAGCGACAAACAAGAGTGAAACATCCACCTTGTTCTGTTCAAAGGGGGGGGGGGGGCCCCCAATGTTGGAGAAGCGCTCGGACTGTCAGAAACGGTCTTTCGGATGTTGGCCTCGGCCCCATCGCCCATCCCCTCCGTCCGTGTCCCCCATCCCCCGCATCTCCCCCGCATCCTCCATCTCCCATCTCCCCCGCATCCTCCACCCGCATCCTCCATCTCCCCCGCATCAACCCTGATCCTCCATCTCCCCCGCATCCTCCACCCCGTCCTCCTCCTCCCCTCTCAGGCCCCTCCTCCTCCGGTCGAGGGGCCCAGCGGCAGCCCTTGAGCGGGGCCTCGGCTTCTTGGGCCGTGCAGCTCGTCTGCGAGGGAGAAGCGAGGCCCGAGCCGCCCCCCTCCAGGCACACGCGCTGTGCCCCCTCGACTGGATCCAGAGATGCTGCAAACGGCCATCGCTGAATTCTAGATTGCTCCGATGAGTCGTTTCTTTCGGGGGTGGACAGACCTCCTACCCTGACACGTCGAGTAAGGAATCGGCCGTTTTCGTCTCGCGAGAGGGCGTCAGGGCCGTCATTTTCGCGGGTCCAGGTCCGTCGGTTTCGGTTCCAGGCCGTTTTCGTTAAGGGGAGGTGTTTGAAAGGGAGGTTTGTCTACCGCCGATTCTTGTACTTGCGTGAGCTGCCATCATTACAGCACGGGTGGCAGGACTGTCAAGCCAGCGTCACCTGGCTCGGGTAAGGGGGAGGCTGGTGCTGGGAGGACTGCCTGGGTGTACGTTTGCATGCAGGTACTCCCAGCAGACGAACGGGGAGAGGACTGTCAGCTTCCTTCCCTTCACGTGGGCCTCTTGATCAAGGGCATGTGGCCGTAGAGGTCAAACAGCTCTTCCTCCCCTTTAGCTCCAGCTTCCAGCTCCTCCTCCGGGGGGCCCCAAACGGTGCGGTGACCACACCGTGTGGTGAGGCAGTGAGGATTGGGGGGGACCGGGCGGTTTTGGGACTTGCGTCGCTCTCCGCGGATGTCTCGGGCGACCCAGGCATCCGAGGCCCCAGAACCGTGCGGGACGGACTCTCCGGCGAGGACGTCCCCTCAAGGAACAGACAGCGGCATAAGCATAGTTCCTCTGCGCTCCGCACGGAGTTCTTGGATCCTCGCTGGAGCCCCCTGGTGGCGCCTCCGGCGCCGCCCCCAGCGCGCTTCGCGCGCCAGGGAGGGGGGGGGGGTACCAGCGCCGATCCAAGACATCCGCGCGGACCTCCGATAACTCAGAGCGTGAATTACCGACCCCGCTTTCGCTTCCAGGCAAAACCAAGTCATACCACGCGCCTCCTCGTCAAGCGGCCTGACCAGTACAGGCCGCAGTTTGGCATCGCTTGGCATCTTTTGGAAGCGAGGGCGGTCGAAAGCGAGGCAGGCTTGTTTGCCCCCTGATAAATGATGGTCATGCTGCTTCTTGTTCCTCTGTCCTCGCCCCGCCCCGATTTTCCCCCCCCACCCCACCCCCCCTTGGGTGCCGCGGCGTCGGCGGGCAGGAGCCCCCGCCGAGGAGGTGGCCGGCTCCTGCGGTCCGGGCGACGTGAACGCAGGCTCCGCGGCGGCGGGGGCGGGGGCGGCAGCAAGCTGTAAAACGACGCGAAGATCGGGACAAAATCGGATCGGGATAACTCGAAACCTCTGAGGATCGGCGGGCTTGGAGGATGTATTGGGCGCCGCGGCCGCTCCAGAGCGTTCTGGAACGCTCTGAGAGCGCTCCGGAACGCTCTGGAGCGATTTTTCCCGATCCTGGCCCTGTTTTAGGCGGGGGCGGCAGCAAGCTGCAGCAGCGGCGGCGGCCCGGGCCATGCAGTGAGGCTCGGCACGAGCGACATGGGTACGGAAAGAATGGGTACACTGCCCAACAGCGGTTCCTGTTCATTTTGAGCAGAAGGGTTGGCCGCCGCGGTCCGCGGGAAGAGGGGATGTGTTTGTTCTTCCGCCGCGCACTTGGGCCAACGTCGGCCAGCGGAAGAAAGAAGTGGGGGACCACTGCGCATGCTGGCGTGGTGTCGCAGCGCTTCTGGATTGGCCCCCCCTCCCAAGCCGCTGCTGACTGCTGTATTCAGCGGCATCCCACCGAGGGGTATTCCGTGACGTTGCAACTGCCTGCAAGTCGGGCTTGTCCCTCTACAGGAGGAATATTCAAAAATAGGAAAGACATAGTCCAAGGACGATTGTTTTAAAATATGTTTGAGCATTTGGGGAGTATGTTTGATTGTTTTTCATTGGTTTGTCCAGACTCCCCCTTGTACGGGGTCAGGTCCGACCTAATGCTTACGGTCTGATTTGTGTGGCTCTGGCAAAGACCAGTGCCCGGTGTGACCGACCAAAAGCCGTACGTGTGTGTGTGTGTTCCCAACGTGAAGAGTGCTGCCCCTCTGCCGGCACACCGAAAGTAGACTACTCCAGATTTCGTAATAAAGGGAGGGGGGTCTCATTTCGGGGGGGGTCTCTTCCAGGCCATCTTGGAGGGCCTGGGGGGTCTGGGGACGATGTTTTGGAGGGTTCTCCCACGGGGGAGGTCTGAAATGGCTTGTCTTGGAGGGTCCAGACCCCCTCCCTTTTATGACGAAATCTGGAGTATGCAGAACATGTGTGGACCTCCCACTGGGGTTCAGATGGTTCCAGAAGTCTGGGCCTCCCAGATGGGGTCGGAGCAGATGGGGTCGGAGGATCGCGTCGCGTCGCCGAGGCATGGACGATGCGGCTCGATGTGGAGCCCGTGCATCGCCGACGTCGCCCACGCATCGCCGGGGCATCACAGGTGCATCGCCGATGCATCGCCGATGTATCGGCGATGCGGCGCGATCCTCCGACCCCATCTGCTCCGACCTCGTCTAGGAGGCCTCTAAGAGGGTGATAGTTTTTGTTACTCCTTGTTTTGCCGATCGTCGCGGGCCCCCCTCCCCCACTTCTCCCCCCACCCAATGGAGTAGATCGTGTCTGTTTGGGGCGCCTGTTTCAAGCGGGTGGGTCTCCCCCATGGGACGCACTGCTGCCAGCAGTCGCATTAAGCAGAGGTCCAGAGCCAGAACCCCCCCATCCCCCCCCCTTCCGCCCACTGTCGAACCGCTGAATAACAAAACGCCCACTTGGGGGGTGAGCGCTTCATGCAGGAAATTTGTGGATTAGGTCGCGTGGCAGTTGCTGACACTGTGATGCATCTGTTGGATGCTGCGCTCCCTGACCCGCGGAGAGATGGGAGGGGGAGCAGGGGTAGGAGGAGGAGGAGGAGGAGTAGGAGGAAACGGACGATGAGGATGAGGAGGAGGAGGGGGAGGAGGAGGAGCAAGAGCAGGTGCAGGAGCAAGAGGAGCAATGGTGGCAGGAGGAGCAAGAGTAGCAGGAGGAGCAACGGAGGAGGAAGGAGGGAAGAGGATGAGGAGGCGGGAAAGCTTGTCCAGAAGGGCAAAGGGGAACAGGGCGGCGGTCAGATGCTTTCCCCTCCCCCCGCCCAAGTCTGAGCAGCCAGCTGGTGCAACGGAGCAGCTCCATCGTTTGTTGCAGCTGGTCACCACAGGAGCACGCAAGGACGTATCCCACCACCTGAGTGCGCAGCCATATCCCAGGTCTGGAGAGAGGCTTGAACTTGTAAGCATCAGTCTGTCCTAGCTTCCCAGATTCTGCACGGAACCGAGCACAACCAGATGCGCCGCGAGTAGATGATCGGGTGGCTCGAGAGTTTCCGTGCAATTGTGGTGCAGCAGATCGATACGTCGGTTGCCAGGAGGGACGAGCTGTTGTGCACCATGGAGTGGGAGCGAGGGGCCTTGGCATAGGCCAAACGTGAGCTTGCCCAGACGATCGCAGCCGCCCCCATCATGCCCAGCATGGGCACTTACAAGATGCAGCTGGATAGTCTCAAGCCGTTGCGAGCTGCAGTTGCCACCGAAAGGTTCGTGTGCCGTTAGAGGCCAGTTACCAGATTATTGTCAAGCTGTTTCGTTTGGCTGTTTGCTCAGCTGCTGATGGACAGGATCCCCCTGTAACAGGCACCATGGGCACTTGCCCCACCCATGGGTGTCGACAGGAGGGAAACGCTGGGGGGCATGTGACAGCGTTACAGCGGCCACCGAGGCCATCAAGCGGCAGATGCACGACGCGCTCCAGCATTTAAGAGATTGAAGGAAGGACGTGTTTCGCTTTCCCTGTCACACGACGTCGGCCACCGAATCAGTTTGGGAAATCTGATGTTCAGTGCTACTCAACAAAGCGCGCTGTCGGGCACAAGTCCTCCCGTGGCAGGCTCTTGCGCCCCTGCCTTGGCTACATTTGGAGTTGAATCGTTCAGTAAGGATCCAACCTCGACGGCAACGAGTGTATCCATCTAGCTTATGTCGAGATGAGATTTTCTGGAGGCGTGAACGGGCGGATATCAGTTCACGTGTTTTGGTTTGTCGCTTTTGCTGACTCCAGCTGCCTCGTCTGATGAACTGGCCTGGATAAGCGTTCCCCCACTGCCAGTTCAGAGCGCAAGCCATTACGTCCCCTGACGTTCAATGGAAGAGGAGGGGGCGGGAGGGGGATGGAGGAGGAGAGGCGGTGGGAACTGATAGTATGTCAAGGCTTCTGGACGTATTCGGCCCACCTGGAGCGCCCGTTCCCGCCTCGCGCATGCTTTCGCAGAGGAGTGGGGACATCAGTTCCGTCGTGATGAACCTCGACATGTGGGCAAAGCCGGACGATTCGCACGTGCCCCACTCAGGAGGACGCACGGCGCCAGAAGCGCGGGCTATTGATTGAATCTGACGCCAGCGACCCGGCGCCACCGCCTGGCCTTGCGTATTGGGCGCCGCGTAATGGGGGGGTCATAAATGGGGGGGTGGCGAGGGTGGTTCGAAAAGGTACCCAAACGGTACCTAAACGAGCCGCCTGGGACTCTGGAGGGGCCCGAAAGGAGCACGAAAGGGGACCTTTTCTGATCCCCCCGTTCATGACCCCCCCATTAAGTCCCGCCCGAACGTAGGGCCGTCCCTCCGCCCCTGGAGCGCTATAGGCGCAGCCTCAGCCTCAGCCTCCGTCTCATTGCGCCAACATGGCAGAGCGGATTCGGATCGGAGAACGGTAGCGTGGACCCCAGAGCGTCCCGGAGAAATTCGTTCCGGATTCCGACTTGAATTTCGCGCGGATTTTTGTGGCCAGGACTGACGGCGAAACAGCTCCGCGCAAGATGTCGCTCCGTTTCTTCGCTCCCCGTTTCGGGGCTCCGTGCACGCGCAGAGAAAATATCCACGCACAAATCCACACCAAGGCCCACGCAAAATATCCACCCACAAATCCACACCAAGGCACACACCAAGGCCCACGCAAAATCCACACACAAAAATCCACGCACAACATAAAAGAAATCCGCACCCGAAAAAAATCCACACAACAAACGTGCACGTCCTGCGAGGTCGGTGCCGCGCTCCGCCCCTCCCCCCCCCCCCCGCGCGCGTTCCCGCAGGCGGTGGCGGCACCTGGCCCCGGCCGCAGCCGCGGCCGCCCGCGCCCGACTGGGGCCGCTGCGCCGCGGCCGCGGCCCTCGGCGCGCGCGTGGTCAACGGGCAGGCGGGCCGCCGCCGCCGCGGCCGCTCGGGGCCGCCGCGCTGCGGGCCGCGCCCGCCGCTGGCTGCCGCTCGCCGCCGCTCGCTGCCGCGCGACGCCTGCCGCTCGCAGCAGCAGCCGCCGCTCGCCGCCTGCCCACCCCCCCCTCGCTATCTGAAGGGTGTGTGTGTGTGTGCGTGTGCGTGTGCGTGTGCGTGTGCGTGTGTGTGCGTGTGTGCGTGTGCGTGTGCGTGTGCGTGTGCGTGCATGTGTGTGTGCGCGTGTGTGTGTAAGTGTGTAAGTGTGTGTAAGTGTGTGTGTGTAAGTGTGTGCAAGCGTGTGCAAGTGTGTGTATGTAAGTGTGTGTAAGTGTGTGTGTGTGTGTAAGTGTGTGCAAGTGTGTGCAAGTGTGTGCAAGTGTGTGTGTTTTAGGGGAACGAAGAATGACAGAAACATAAATACTCGGAGGTCCGCGCGGATTTCTGAGTTTTCATGTTTATGTCATTGTTCGTTGTCCTACGTGTGTGTGTACCCCACGCCGCCGGCTGGGCAGGTCCTCGGTGCGCGTGCACCCTCCACGCCATCCATGCCCGGATGTGCTGATGCAGTACCTCCACCGCTCGTGCCGCTGATGTAGTACTTCCCCACGGTCTGGCGTGTGCACCTCCCTGCCATCCACGCCCGGATGGCTGACGTAAGTAGGCTCTGCATCCTAAGCGATACCTCAGGGTTCAGCCGTCGCGTGCGCTGTGCCTTGACCTACTCCGCCTTGTCGCTGCGCGCGAGGCCGCTACCGCCGCCCCCCCGAAAGAGTGTGTGTGTGTGGATTCTTGTAGTCCACATCGCGGATCGAGGGGCCCTCTCCCCACGTCGCGGATCGAGGGTCGAGTTCTTCTTTGCTTGAGGGGGGGGGGCGCTCTCGTGTCTCCTGGGCCGCCCTCGTCGCCGCGCCTGGCTCTGCCCCGAGGCTCTGGCCCGGACGCGCCTCGTGGCAGGCCTGGGGTCGGGGGCGGCAAAGAGGGGGGTGATGACTAGGGGGGCTGGATTTCACGGCGTGGGCCATGATTTTCCCTCTGCTTTCATGGCGCCTCTTCCTACTTCATTACGCCCCTGGCCCCCCCGCTGGGCCGAGCACACGCCGCCGGTCGTGATTTGCACCCCCCCTCCTGGACCCCCCCCCCCTTGGCCGCTCCCGATCCTGGGGGGACGACCATTGTCACCACCCACCAAACCACCCCAACCCAACCCGAAGGCTCAGATTTACCCTCGATTTCCAGTGGGGGGGGGTCGGGGAAACATCGAAAAAACACATGTGGAATCCTTACCCCCCCCAACCCGAAATCGGGGTCTTCGGGTTGGGTTGGGGTGGTCTGGTAGGTAGTCACATTGCTGGCCCAACCCAGGCATCCGACGATGTCTCTCGGCGTTCGACCCCAGCGCGCTCCCCCGACGCCATATGCCTCCTCCGCGGGGCCATCCGAAGTTCACCCGGCCTGCCAGCTCGCCCCCCCCCCCGGAAAAGGTCGAGAGGTTTGGGCACGAGAGTCAGGCTCCTCCTCCTCCTCCTCCTCCTCCTCCTCCTCCTCCTTTTCCTCCTCCTCCTCCTCCTCTTGCTCTTGCTCCTCCTCCTCCTCCTCCTCCTCCTCCTCGCCTCCTCCTCCTCCTCCTCCTCCTCCTCCTCCTCCTCCTCCTCCTCCTCCTCCTCCTCCTCCTCCTCCCCCTCTCTTCTACCGCTATTATCAGGCGATCGCAAACATGGATCAATGGTGCGTGGATTTCCCGAGAATTTGCGACGGGTCCCGTTTCCATGGGGAATCGCGGACGTCCGCCGCCGAGCGGGGCGGCACCGGCATCGTTTTGGGGATGGCGCCTCCGGCGATCCACGGATCTGGCGATCGCGCGCCAGATCCACGCACGGATCGCTAATCCATGTGTGCGCGCCCCCGGGAGAAGTCTGGGGCCGCGGATTTGGCATGTGGGGTCGCGCAGGCCCAGGAGACCTCGCGCGGACCTCCGGCAGTCTTGTCCCGGCTGCCGACGGCGGCCGCCGACGGCTCCCCGAAGGCCCCAGATGGGCGGCCGGTGCCTGCCGGTGGCCCCCTACGAGTGCATTTCTTCGATGTCCGCCGATGTGTTTTTAGGATTGCAAAAAAAACCAAGGATTGCAAACAAACCTTCGTCCAAGGATGTGGGTTTTTCTGCAATCCTTCGTCCAAGGGTTTTTGTTGCAATCCTTCGTGCATTTCTCTGATGTCCGCCGATGTGATTTTTCGAGGCGCGGGCCCAGAGCTCCCGGGGCCCGCTCGCCGGCCGAAGCCGCAGGCAGCGCACGCCCGTTGAAGCATGCACGTCGTCGGACATGGTTGGCGTGCTGGCCACAGCTCGGGCCTCCTGGCGGCCGTCATGGGGCGACGTGGGCACCCCCGGGGGCGCTCCCGACGAGGCGCAGCCGCCGACGAGGCGCCCCGGGGAGGCCTCCGGCAGCCAGCGGAAGCGCCCGCAAGCCTTGTGATTCTGGACGCCCGAAATGGGCACGGAGAGAACGGTGCAGCCTCAGTCTCTCCCGCTCTGCCTGGCCACCACTCCTAAAGACGACGGGACGAGGAGACTACGGAGCGGCTCGCCCGATTGCGCGCGTCGGAGCGTCTCCAGCGCCGAGCGTTACCAGCGCCGAAAGGAGTCCCGAATGGTACGATTCCCGACAGCAGTTCCTGCTCATTTTGAGCAGGACTCGCTGCCCGCGCCGCCGCGGCCTGTGTCCGTTCGAGGCAGAAGGCCGCCTGCCAGCAACAGCGGCCGCTGTTGGTCTGGGACAACACTTGTTGTTGGGCATTGTACCCATTCTTTCCGTACAAATTTCGGGCGTCCAAAATGATGTTCCAACCTATTTTAGCCCTGATCACCAGAAATAATCTCGAGCACCAGAAAAGCACCCCAAAACTCGAGGGGGTTCACGTGTCGGGCCCTGGGAGACGCTCGTCCGACACTGTAGCTACACTGTTTCGACACTCTTTCGACACTTTCCTGGGTGCTCGAAATGATTTCTCTGGGATGTGGTCCTTCAGTACGACGGGGGAAACATAACGCCAGCCTTGAAACCCTCGCCGGCGATCTGGGCAGGGCAGGCCTGGGAGGGCCGAGCGGTGCCTCTGGGCCCGAAGGTGATGGTTTTTGTCATCCATTGTTTTGCCGATCGGCGCGGGCCCCCCCAAACCCCCCAGGGAGTAGGCCTATAGGCCTCCCAGATGGGGTCCCCCAGTTTTTAGGCCTCCGAGATCTAGGCCTCAGGCCTCCTAGATCTAGGCCTCCATTGTTTTGCCGATCGGCGCGGGCCCCCCCACCCCCCCCCTTCCATGGACAAGGGAACGAACAATGACATGAACATAAAAACTCTGAGGTCCGCGCGGATGTCTCGGATCCGTCCTGGACCCCCCTGGCGGCGCCTCCCGCGCCGCCCCTGGCGCGCTGCGCGCGCCAGGGAGGGGGTTCCAGCGCGGATGCGGGAAATCCGCGCGGATCTCAGAGTTTTTGTGTTTATGTCATTGTTCGTTCCCCTAATGGAGTAGATCTTGGCTGCTTTTCTGCGCCCGCTTCGAGCGGATGGAGTCTCCCCCAGAGGCCGCATTTTTGCAGGCAGTCGCACTGAGCAGAGGTCTGGAGCCAGACCCCCTCGTCCCCCCCCTTGCCTTAAGTCGGGCGTGTCCCTCTACAGGGGGAATATTCAGAAATAGTGAAAAAATGATCTGGGGACGATTTTATTACTATTTTTGAACATTTGGGTTCATTTTTTGAGTATTTTTAATTTTTCGCCCAAAATCCCCCTGTAGGGGGACACGCCCGACTTAACCCTTGCCGTCCAATGTCGAAGCGCCGGATATCGGGAGGGAACACAAGCAATCAGACACAGTCCAGCGTCGACTCCCAGGAGGTATGGGAAAACATGGGAAGTGGAGGGGCAGACGACAATCTGGAACAGAGGGGAAGTGAAGGAGTGGAGGGGAAGTGGAGGAGTGGAGGAGAAGGGGGAAGTGGAAGACGACCATCTGGAGGGGAAGTGGAGGAGTGGAGGGGAAGTGGAGGAAGTATGGGAACACGGGAAGTGGAGGGGCAGACGACCCCCTCCCTGGCGCGCGGAGCGCGCCAAGGGGCGGCGCCGGAGGCGCCGCCGGGGGGGGGGCCCAGCGCCGATCCGAGACATCCGCGCGGCCCTCCGAGTGTTTATGTTTATGCCACCTTTTGTTCCCCCCTCCTCCTCCTCCTCCTCCCCCCCCTCCTCCTCCTCCTCCTCCCCCTCCCCCTCCCCCTCCCCCTCCTCCCCCTCCCCTCCCCCTCCCCCTCCTCCTCCTCCCCCTCCTCCTCCTCCTCCTCCTCCTCCTCCTCCTCCTCCTCCTCCCCCTCCTCCTCCTCCTCCTCCTCCTTTAGAAAACGCAGATGGCCTAGAAAACGCCCACGAGGCCGCCGATGGCCTCCGGAGGGCCACCGGAGGGCCGCGGCCCGCGCGCGCGCGCGAGGTGTATCGGCCCGCGCCGTGCGCCGCCGCGGAGGCGCCGCCCGCGGAGGGCGCCGCGGCCTGGCCCTGGGCGGCAGCGAGGGACCAGCCGGTGCCCAGCGAGGAGCTCCGCCGATCGACTAGGCGTAAGAGTGACCTTTCGCCGGAGTGGCCTCTGGTGCGGGCACAGATGTCGGGGGTGGACAGAACCCCCAATAGTGACACGTCGATTAGTGAATTGTCCGTTTTCGGTTCTCGAGATGGCGCCGTGGCCGTTATTTTCCAGGCTTACGCCCGCCAAGTTTGGGCCTCAGGTCGTTTTCACTAAACCACGTTTTACTAAAGGGGGTTCTGTCCATCCCCGAAGATGGGTCCCCAGATGGCTGAAAGCGAAGCTGCAGCAGCGGCTTGCGCGCCCAGGTTTGGTCCCCCCGCGGCCCCCCAAAAAGCCGCGCAGCAGAGGTCACTCTTACCCAGGGTCACTCCTGCGTGTAGCCGAGCCGAGGGCGTCGGTTGATAGACTTAAGTCGGGCCTGCCCCATCTACAGGGGAAGTAGTCAAAAATGGTCTGGGGATTATTGTTTGACTATGTTTGAGCATGTGTGGGGGGTATGTTTTGAAAATTTGTTATTTTTCGTCGAAGATCCCCCTGTAGGGGGACACGCCCCCTGGTGCCCAGCGAGGAGCTCCGCCGAGGGTGTCGGATCGGGTATAGCCAGGGCCCCAGGCATCGAGCATTTTTGTTGGGTGGAGGGCAAAGGGTGAAATCTGATATGCCGTTTCGATTGGTGGTCCAGGCTTGTATCTGCAAAAGGTGAATCACAAGACGAATTGATCTTCGAGGTGTAAAAGCTCATATGGATTTCACCCTGAGACCTCCGCCCTGAGAAAATGCTCAGGGTAAGGAGACCCCGTTAGCGGTAGGGCCCCGGGGCCTTTGAATTGGCCAGAAGCACCAAACCAGGTCTGCCGTATAGCCCGTGCTTTTCGGGTGACGGCAGTTCCGGTTCGTGGAAGGGGGCGGGGGGGTCTCCCCCAGTACACATCGGTAAACCAGGTTCCATTAAACCCAGTTCTGCCAGTGCCCGATCGGAGGTGCCCAGCGAGGAGCTCCGCTCACAAACCCAAAACAGACGCCCAGTCCCAAAAACGCGTCGGCCAAGACAGAACGCAGGCTCCTCGAGACTTCGGGGAGGGAGATTTTTGGGGCTTAGGGTTTGACCAGGGTGACAACGACGAACTCAAAACATACCCCGAAATCTTTGGCCGATCTTCGAATCCTGTGAATCCGCGATTTTGGGGTTGGGGATGTTTTTTTCCTTGGTCATCCGCCGAGGGTTTCGGAGGTGGATCGACCTCCTGCCCTGGCACGTCGACTAGCGAATTTGCCGTTTTCGGTTCGCGAGAGGGCGTCGCGGCTGTCACTTTTGCGGGTCTAGGTCCGCGAGTTTCGGCCAGCGAGGAGCTCCGCCGAGGGTGTCGAAGGTGGATAGACCTCTTGCCTTGGCACTTCGATTGGCGAATTGGCCGGTTTCCGTTCGCGAGAGGGCGTCGCGGCCGTCATCTTTTGCGGGTCCAGGTCCGTGGGTTTCGGCCCTGGGCTGTCTTCACTAGAGGGGGGTTTGCCAAAGGGAGGTTTGTCCACCGCCGAGGGTTATGTTGCCCCCATCGTACTCACGGACCACATCCTAGAAATAGTTTCGAGCACCCGGAAAAGCATCGAGAGAGTGTCCAAGCAGTGTCGAAACGGTGTCGGACGAGTGTCTCCCAGGGCCCGGCACGTGAAAATCCTTTAGTTTCGGTATTTCTGTTGGTGTTCGAGTTTTTGTCTGGTGGTCAAGGCTAAAGTAGGTTGGAACATCATAAGCCGAGGGAGGAAAATAGTCAGAGGAGGAAGATGTAAGCCACCCAGATGGGGTCGTAGTAGATGGGGTCGGAAGATCGCGCCGCATCGCCTATGCATCGCCCACGCGGCTCGATATGGGGCCCGATTTGCTTCACGCGGTCGTCGCCGATGCGTCGCCGACGTCGCCGATGCGTCGCCGATGCATCGGCGATGCGGCGCGATCCTCCGACCCCATCCACTCCGACCCCACCTAGGAGGCCCCTAGAAAAGGTACCCATGCCGCTACCCTTCCTTTGTTTTTGCCTTTTTCGGCTTCCTGGGAGGCCCTTGTCGCCACCGCCGGATCCGCCTCGAAATCCTTGTCAGAGCGCACCACGGGTGAGGTCCGCGAAGTAGCAGCATGGGTACCTCGTGGGCTCCCCAGAAAAAGGTGGACCATGACCAAGCTGTCGCGGGAGTTTGTCGATTCCGATGTTGATCATGGTCCATGTCGGCCGTCCCCGAGTCGCGAGGATGAGGATGATCCGCACACTGACGCTAGCCAAGATCGACGGTGACCAAGATCGGCACGACGTCTGCGCATTCGGTCTTGGCCATGGTCCCTGGCCTCTTCCCCTCCACTCGGGGCCCATTCCGATCCGATCGATCCGACCCCGCATCGGCCCTGGCTGGCCCGATCCGATGAGATGCCGACGTTCGGGCGGCGCGATGCAGCCCGATGTTTGCACGGCGCCTCCCAGCGTCGTGGCGCTGCCGATCCGAACCGATTCTGACTCCTGGCCGATGCAGCCCGATCCGACGCACATGCCGATCCGATTCGGTGCTGACTGGATGCCGACTGATCCTCGCACTCTGTCCAAGGGCAGAGTCCGCTCGCAGCTCGAGGTGTTCTAGGCATGCTGAAATGCCCGTCGGCTCCCGGAGGCTTCCCAGCCTCGGGGTGCTTCTCAGCGGCTGCGCCAGGGGGTGCCCAAACCTTCCCTCAAACGGCCGCCAGAGGCTAGAGTTGTGATTTGGAATTCCAGATCTCCGACGACATGCTTCTTTCAATCCCAGCGTCTTTCCTGGATGACGGCCCCCAGAGCTAGTTATCGGGCTCTGGAGCTCTGCCGGGCTAGACGCGACGCTGGCCCTGGGGAAGGGGTCGTGATCTCCATGGGGCTGCGCATTGACTAAAGCATTGCGAAGGCCTTGCAGCCAGTGCCGCCGACCCTGAAGCGGAACGACCGACAACGGCGGCGGCGGCGACGACGACGCTGACGTGGGTCGGAGTCCTCATGGATGCTTCTCGGGGTCTCTCCGAAGCGCTCTTGGGGGCCTCTGGGGAACAGTTGGGGGGCCTCTTTGCAGCCTCTTGGGTGCAGCTCGGGAGCCTCTTGGGGGCCTCTCGAGGCTTCTGGGGGCCTCGTGGGGGCCTCATGGGGCCTCTTTGGGGCCTCTTGGTTCCTCCTGGGAGCCTCTCGGGGCCGAGGGCTCGAAATGTCCGTTCTGGTCCCTCTTTTGGGCGCCCTCTTGGAGCCGTCTTGGGGGCCTCTTTCGCCGTCTTGGAAGCGTCGTGGGCCGTCTTGGTGCCCTCTGGGGCCGTTTTGGGTCCCTCCCTCCTGGAGCCCTCTTGAGCCGTCTTGGGGCGATCTGAGTGGCCTCTTGGGCCCCGTCTTGGAGCTTTGGGAAGCGGAAGAAGCGAGAACGCCGAAGTGCTTGAACAACCAATGGAAAACCAATGTTTTTTCCTCTTGGGGCTCTCTTGGGAGTGCTCCTCCATGTGACGCCGCCGATAAGTTGAATATTTCGATATTGCTTCTGCTCGTTCAAGACGTTGGACGCCTTACCCGCGAGAGGACGAGGAGGGAGAGGAGGAGACGAACGCATGAAAGGTCACGGGTGGATGAGGAAGGGAGGAGGAGGAGGAGGAGGAGGAGGAGGAGGCAGAGCGTTGAAGGCAATGACGTTGACCGGGCCGCTACAGAGTTTCCCTCACTCGATTGGCAGGGAGTTGCTGCGCCAGTGGGCCGAGGAGGAAGAGGGGAGCAGGAGGGAGGAGACTGACGGAGGAAGGAGGAGAGAGGAGGGGGAGGGGGAGGGCGGAGGAGGACCGAGGCAGGGAGGAGGGAAGGTTCCCCATGTCCCCTCTTCTCCCTCTTGGCTCCCCCTCCTTCCCTTTCCTCCTCTTCCCTCCTCCATCCTCCTCTCCCCTGCGGATGTGCGAGAGCGCCAGACCGTGTGAATTTGAATGTGATCTTTGCCTCCTCCTCCTACTACTCCTGCATCTCCTCCTCCTCCTCCTCCTCCTCCTCCTCCTCCTCCTCCTCCTCCTCCCACCTCCCTCCACCTCGTCATCCTCCTGCTTTCCCCTCCTCCCTCCTCCTCCTCCTTCTCCTCCTTCTCCTTGTCCTTCTTCTGCTTTTCCCTCTTCCTCCTCCTGCTCTTCCCTCGTCCTCCCTCCTCCTTCTCATACCCCCCCCCTCCAATTCCCTCTGCCCTTCCTCGTCTCTCCTCTCTGCCCTGCAAGCCTCCTTCCTTCTCTTTCCTCCTCCCTCCTCCTGCTCCCTCCCTCTTCCTCCGATTCCCTCTGCTCCTCCTCCCTCCCTTCCTCCCCCTCCGTCCTCCCCCCTGCGAGCCCGCGGGCGTGCCAGGAGTCTCCAGGGCGGCACGCGCGCACGGGCCCGGTGCATCGGTCCCTGACGACGAGGGTGCTCAACAGGCCGTCGCGCCGCGGCAGAAGCCACGACGCGAACAGGGGGCCACATGCGAACCCTACCCCTGCCATCCACGATTTTCTGAGGGGGAGGGTGGGAGGTAGAACCCTACCCCCCTGCCCCCTCCGTACCCTACCCCTGCCCCCCACGAGCCCCACACCTACCACACGTGCGAACCCCACCCTCCCCCTTAGAAATCGTGGGGGGTATGCAGGGGTAGGGTTCGCATGTGGCCCCCTAGCGAAGGCTTTTGCCCTTCGCGTCGCGGAAAGATCCCGATGGAGAGTGTTTTGCCGTCTTCGACCGTTGGGGGCCTTCGATGGGCCCCGGGACCGTCAAGACGCAGTTCGGGATGAAAAGCCGGGCCCAGGGAATGAATCGAGACCTTTGAAAGCGAGAGGATAAGTCTAAGTCGCTCCAGGGTGCCCGAAGGGGGGAGTCGGGCAAGCCGTACCCTGAGATCCTGGCGTCGCAACTTGATCGAGCCCGGCGTTTTCGCATAATATCGGGCCTCGGGACCCTCAGAAATTGGCACGGCTGAAAAACGCCGCAGAAAGATGGAGTCTCTGGGGCTCTTGCCGCGGTTTTTCGCGATGTTTCTATCTTGTTGTGTTTTTTTCCCGCGTCGTCGGATCTCAGGATAGGATGATCAAGCAGTGGCGAATCGTCCTGGCTCGCCTAGCTCTACCAAACAATGTTCTAAGAGCCTTTCGTGGTATCCACGAAATGTTCTTAGAACATGTCCGATTGGGACTGCCTTGGTTTATCACATCGGTTCTATGTTCTAGGAACATGGTGTCTTGTGATTGGAACATTTTGCGGGTTCTAAGAACACTTCGTGGTAGGACTATAGGAATGCCGGGACGGCCGGCCCCTGCTCAAGATGAAGAGGTCGCGTCAGGCTCTCGCGTCGCGAAGACACACGACGGATCGTTCTGCGCCGCTTCGGCCTTGATAGAGGGGCTCTCGGTAGGCCCAGGCGCTGTCCAAAGACTGCTCGGGATGAGAAGCCAGCGTCGGGGAGCGGGAGGGGGTAAAGCGGGGCTGGACCTACACGCTGTTGTGCTGGACTTCGGCGGTGTCTTGACTGTCGTTTTGGAGGGGCGGTGCAGGAAAACGCGCAGAGCAGAAGGAACGACATAACGAAAGCAAAACGACAGACAACGTTCAGGTCCAGCCCTGTCGGGGAGTGGGAGCGGGTCGAGACCTTTGAGGGATGAGGTGGTGAGCCTCGGAACCCAGTCTTCCTGGACCTCTGCGGGGGGTGGTGCGGACGTGCTCGGTCCATCCTGGGGGGCCTGATGTGTGTACACATCCGCACGGATGCATACCTATATATTTGTGCACTTGTGCCTCTCTCTCTCTCTCTCTCTCTCTCTTTACACAGACATACACTGCGCATGTCCGTGCGCGTATTTGGGAATCCAGGCACACGCACACATCCGCCTCCACGTCCACATCCCCTGTTCTCCACCGCCCCCCGGGGCCTCAGGAAGTCGGGCCCCTCGCTCGCGCTCTCCTGCCTGCAAGCCGGGAGCCCCCGCCTCGCGCCCTCCTCCTGCCGGGCCCCGCCCCCTGCCCGACGGAGAGGCCGAGTGGGCTCCACGAGGGGGGTCCCGTGGCAGCCCGCACAGGGCGCGCGCCTCCGCGCACGCCGCTCCCTGCTCTGCCCTCCTCCTCGATCCTCGATCCTCCTCCCCCTCCTCCTCCTCCTCCTCCTCCTCCTCCTCCTCGACCGTTGATCTTCTTCCTCATCGATTATCGATCCTCCCCCTGCCCGATCCTCGATCCTCCTCGCCGATCCTCGGCGCCGCGCCCATCGCCGCCTGCTGACCTGGCCCCCCGGCGCGGCCTCCTCGCCTGCCCTCGGCCGTCCTCGGGCTCGGGGGAGGGGGTTGCGTGCCTCCCAGGCTCGCTCCCAGGCTTGGGTCGGGCGTGTCCCCCTACAGGGGGATTCACGACGAAAAATAACAAGTCCCTAAAAAACATTCCATCATGGTCAAAGGAAATATATACTCAAACGATAGTCCCCAGACTATTTTGTGACTATTTTTGAACATTCCTCCTGTCGAGGGACAGGCTCGACCGAATCCCAGGCCTCCTCGGCTTTTGGGGGGCCTCCGTGGGCCCCCGCCTCGGCGCAGCCGCTGCCGCCGCGCGCCGTGCCCCCCCTGGGGCCCACTCGCGCGGGGGGCCGGGCGTGAGTCGGGGCCTTCGGCGGCGGCGGCGAGCCCACGGGGAGCCGGGCGCGATTCTGGGCGCGTTTCTGGGGTCGGGGCGCGATTCTGCGCGCGACTCTGGGGGGCGGAGCGGCGGCGATTCTGGGGGGCCGGACGGAAACGCAGGGGCGTGATTCTGGGGAGGCCGGGCGTGATTCTGCAGGGGGGCTTGGCATCGCGAGGACCTGTGCGTCTTTTTTTCTCGGCGGGGGGCCACCCTGGGCCATCGAGCGAACAAAGCCACGCACGAGGCCGAAGAGTTTCACGGGGCATGGGCGTCCGAGCGGCGGCGAGGGGGGAGTCCGCCCGTTGTGTTGAGCCCGTCGGCGGCGCGCTGCGGGGCAGAGTCTGGCGCGTTGCCCGGCCGCTCCGCGGTGTCGTCGGTTCCCGGAGGTTCCCCAGCGTCGGGGTGCTCTTTCCAGCGGCCGCGCCTCGCCAAGGGCGTCCCAGGAGTGTCCGGAGGGGGAAAAGCACAGACACAATTGATCGTCGGCTCCCAGGAAAATATCGGAACATGTGGGAAGAGGGGGGGGAAGACAATAACCCAGGCAATATAGGAAAAGATGGGGAGTCTTGTTATTTGTATGTATTTATTTGTGTGTCCCAGGGCCCCTTCAGAGTGCCTGGCTCGTCCCGAACGGCCCGGGGAGACGCGAGGTGAGGCCCGAGTCCAAAGCCCTTTCCCTTCGGAGGGAGGAGGAGCGACACCAGCACCAACGGGGGGGCCACTTCCAGCGAGGGGGTCCACGAGGCCTCCCCGAGCTGGAGGCTGGGGATGTCTCGAGCGAGAGGGGGTGGCCACACCACCAGGGAGACCCTCCTTGCCTCCTCGCATCTCCTCGCCCTGTTGGTGTTGGCGTCGCCTTTCCTTGTCCCTACTCCTCGCTTGACGGGGGCCTGTCCCTCTACAGGAGGGATATTCAAAGATGGTTTAAAACATAGTCTGGGGACGATTGTGTTTACTATTTCGGATCATTTTTGGAGTATGTGCCGATTATCTGTCATTCGTCGTCCAAAATGCCCCCTGTAGGGGGACAGGCCCGACCCAAGTCTAGCCTTCTCTGAAGGCGACTGTGTTGCTCGAAGGCCATCCAGCCTTCTCAGACGCCGCCTCTGTCTTCGGAGAAGGCTCAGCGCACCCCTCGGGAAGCCCGAGGGCGTCCGAGAGGCCCCGTCTGCGCCCCTGGGCTCGCCGCCGAGGGGCCGCCCGGATGGGGCCGAAGCAGATCCGACCAGGAAGACATCGGCGTCACCCCAATGAACTAATACTATGTGTGCTTCGCCCCCCCCCCTCCCCCCCCCCAGGGGCGACGCGCGCACCGAGAAATCTTATATCGGGGTTGGACAGACCTCCTACCCTGACACGTCTATTAGTGAATTCTCCGTTTTCGGTTCTCGAGAGGGCGCCGCGGCCGTCATTTTCCAGTCTTGCGCCCGCCAGGTTTGGGCCCGAGGTCGTTTTCACTAAACCACGTTTTACTGAAGGGGGTCTGTCCATCCCCGAACTAATACTGTGTGTGCGTTGCCCCCCCCCAGGGGCGACGCGAGCACCGCGAAATCTTACAGCATATGCTTCTCGGCGGGCGCTTTCTGGCCAGACGGCTCGGGAAGCGATATACTACAATATTACTGTACCACATGTTCGGGTCGGACGCGCGCCTCCAAGGAAAACATTGTGTTAGTATGCCCCTGTGCGTCCCAAAATATACTGATACCGGTATCCGTCCTTCGTCGCCATGGCTGGGTTCACCTCGAAATCTCAATCTACTCGGTCAGAACGACACTGCTGTCCTCATCTCGTCGTCAGACTTGGGCCACTTTTGGCCATGGTAGGGCCGCTCACGATCCAGCGTGGTGCGAGTCGATTCGCTGGCCGAGCCCGCGATTCTGATTCGACTCGGCTCGATTCGGCCCGATCGGCCAGCATCGGCCGGGGCCCGCCAGTCAGCGCCGGGG